AATCCACCCCCTTGAGCAATGTAGTTAAGCTGACCTAAGCCCAGGTGTAGAAAACACTAGGTCGACAGACGAATTGTTCAGTTGACCTAGCTCCTGCTTCCTGGGGAGATGGATTAACCACAGCAATGGGAGAACCCCATCCTGTCACTGCAGAGTGTCTCTACACTGCAGTGCTACCATGGCAGCATTTCTAGTGAAAACAGAGCCTCAGACACTTTGGTTACCACCCCCAGGCCTGAAGAAGGCTGAGGTTTTAGCACTAGGCATGGAGAGGACAATATTCCAGGGGGAAACCACAACCGGAATTTGGAGAGAAGGTTGGACAGAACAGGTTGGAGAGAAGGTTGGACAGGACAGGTTGGAGAGAAGGTTGGACAGGTGCTCCTCATGGTGCCACTTCTACACGCAAGAGGAGCACAGCTGCAGCAATCTGTTCCACTTTACACAAAGCAAGAGCAGCTCTTAAGGATCCAGCAATTTCCCAAGAAAGCCCGGAATCGACCAAAATTTGATCCCCAATTTATCGGGTCAGTGTTAGAAGACTTTAGTCCCCTAAGAGTTATTACGTTCCAAAAGCGTGGAGGAGCCAGGAACAGTTAGAACAAAAAGCAGTCAAGCCGGACAATAGACAGCACCCTAGCTATTCTCCTTGTTAGCCAACTGGCATTCTTCCTCCTAAGCAAGGAGGACTTTGCTCTAGCTGGCTTAATTTTAAAAAGCAGCTTCTGCTCCCTCCTCCATGACTGCAGCTGAACAGAAAACACAGGGAAGTTTTCACTCATATTAACAAAGCTTTAACCAATCTTAAGAACATAAGAATGGCCATACTGGGGTCAGACCAATGGTCCATCTAGCCCAGTATCCTGTCTTCTGACAGTGGCCAGTGCCAGGAGCTTCCGAGGGAATGAATAGAACAGGTAACCATCCCCTGTCACCCATTCCCAACTTCTGGCAAACAGAGGCTAGGGACACTTCAGAATCTTGGAGAGGATTAATGGAGTTTCTTTATAAAGTTTTAACCTCTCTCTCCAGAAGCCTAGCTTGAACTACCAAAACAAGTCGCTCTTCTGCTGCGAAAGCCGTGGATCTTTTTAAATTTCAAAACCAAGTATGTTATAAAGTTTCTCGCCAATTATGTTGTGCCAAGATCTCAGAGCAAGACAAACACTGAATAAAACCTCAACACCCCTACTGGCTCAAGGTGTCTCTCTAGAGAGTGCCCCAATATGAAAAAAATTGGGTAGAGAGGTTGAGCAACTGGTTCAAAGTAACAATGGCAGGCCTGGGAGAATAGAACTCTGGCACCCTGACTTACTTACCATTAGACAACCTACAGTCCAGGTTGGAAGGTACAATAATGCTGATAAGTTTGGTGCAGAATCTGAAATAAAGCCCGAGATACTGATTCTTTCCCTACTTTTCTAACCATTACACCAGACTCCCACTTGCTGTCTCCAAGGGAAACGCTTGAATTTCTGAAGAGCCAAGTGATCACATGGAACTTCTCACAGGGGAGAAAACACATTCGGTTTAAAATACCAAGAAAGTTTAAAGCATTTGTTTCTCTTATATACACAAGAATATCACTCTGCCCCTCCGTGCCCCAACCATCCAGGCCACATCAAAGTACTGTCACTTCTTCCTCTAGTTAGCACATCTAAGATCCACCCTCTTTTCCCCCTCCACCCCCCCCCCCCCAAAAAACAACAACCCACCCCCCTTTCATCCAGGGTCTCATCCCCCAGTCAGATGGCTGCAGCCTTCTCCTTTTTGGCCCTCTAACTACTCATCTGTCAATTGACACACAAAGACAGCAACCAAGTTACATTCTTGCCCAGATGATCCTCCCCACTTTGAATTGCTCCACCAAATCAAAGATCAGGCTTCTTGTCTTTGTCTTCAAGGCCCTGCATAATTCCTCAGCCATCTTGTCCTTTGCTTCTCCAGCAGCTATCTCCAAACCTCCCATACCACTGCCTAGGCAAGAAGTGCACTGCCTTAGCAAGTTCACAGCATTGCTACACTCTCTCCATTCAAATCCCCCTAGAAGAAAGGTCTAACTCTCCACAACATCTCGGGAGGGTGATCTGGGCAAGAATGTAACTTGGCTGCTATCTGTGTGTGTGTGTCAGTTGGAAGGGTGCAGATGAGTGGTTAGAGGGCCAAAAAGGAGGAGGTTGCAGCCATCTGGCTGGGAACTGTGACCTTAGATGAAAGGTTTTTTTGCTGTAGGGAAGAAGGATGGATATTAGATGCACTAATGAGCTACAAGAGGCACAACTGCAGGGTAATCTGGGATTGTGTTTACAAAAGTATGGAAGCTTTGTTAGAAAGCCCATAACGAAGGTTGCATTGAGACATACAAATTCCACACTTCATACCCACCTATGCCTGTTTTTCTAACCGACATCAGACACTTTTGAAAGCTTAGATGTCTCAGGAAGAATCATGACTAAAAAAGTCCTTTTAAACTAACTCTCTCTCAGTTTCTAGTGGAAGGAACCTAACCTCGCAGGACTGCTGGGAGGATTCGTTTATTTGTACAGCACTTTCAAGATGTGACGCACTAAGCAAGGGCCTGATCCAAAGTTCAAGTCAATGGGAGTCTTTACCCTCATTTCACTTTGGATCAAACTCTAATTGCTTAGATTACCAGATGAAAACCAACAGGGGGAAAAAAGGAGTCAATCCTGTTTTCATTAAAGTGTCCCCGACAATTAAACCTTTACGGGGGTGGGAAAGTGAGAATGTGGCTTTTACTGATGGAATGGTCTAGGAACAGAAGGGAATTCTGTAGGACATGCTGAAGTTTCAGTGGGTCTTTAAGATCACAAAAAAACCAACCTTTTCAAAGCAGTAGGGAAGAATTATTTGTCTTCCCCTCCGAAAGACAGAAGTACTGTACTCACTTAACTTCATCTTCTATTTAGAAAGACAAGTGCTACCCTCTAGTGGAAATGTCTAAAAAAACCAGGCTCACAGATCCCAAAGCAGGGGATGAAAGAAAGGGAAGATGATGGTAGAATCTCAGAACTTCAGGCTGAATATCAGAAATACACAAAGTGACTGAGTAATTTCTGAACCCACGATCTAGAAAGAGTTTTTGGGCTGGATTCTATTCTTTAGGACCTATGCAACCCCAAATGGATGAAACTGCTGGCTGGGCATTTTCAGCTACGGATCCTTGATTCAAAACACTTCCTCCATCCAAGTACAAAGCAACCTTGACTAGTCAACATTTATAATGTGGTGTAAGGCTTATGTATTCTCCTAGAGAGGCAGCTTGAATGGGTGCCTCACCAATGAGTTGGAGGGGGAAATTTTTACTTTTGCTGAGTAGGAAGAGTTTGTGGATACTGATCTATTTGTTACCCAATGATTTCATGACATTTTTAATATGAAAGCTAATCTCTAGCATGATTGACAGGTACCTTTGAGAATTAACTATTCATATGAATCATAGAACTGGAAGGGACCTCGAGCAGTCATCTAGTCCAGTCCCCTGCACTCAAGGCAGGACTAAGTATTATATCTAAGGGTACGTCCACACTACCCGCCGGATCGGCGGGTAGCGATTGTTCTACCGGGGATCGATTTATCGCGTCTCATCTAGACGCGATAAATCGATCCCCGAACGTGCTCCCCGTCGACTCTGGAACTCCACCAGGGCGAGAGGCGGAAGCGGAGTCGACGGGGGAGCCGCGGCCGTCGATCCCGCGCCGTGAGGACGGGAGGTAAGTCGATCTAAGATGCGTCGACTTCAGCTACGCTATTCTCGTAGCTGAAGTTGCGTATCTTAGATCGATCCCCCCC